ATTTAATATAAATATATATATACTTTCTCAGGTTTTTTCTTTAATAACAGTATAATTTATTTTTTTGAATATATTAAATTATATGTAAATGAAAAAATTTGTTAAATAAATATTAAACTTTAATTTATGTTAATGTTATTTCTGTGGTATTTAAAAAAAGGAATAAATTAATTACTTTGACATTTACAGTTTGTAATCCTTCTGCTACTTCTGACTTTGTCTCAATAGATTGTTGTTCATAAAGCTCAGTATCAATTGCAGCAGAATGTAATTCACTCTCCATATTTTCGATACCCTCTCCTTTGGGATAATATGTAGGAGACTCCTCAAAGAGACATTCAAATTCTTCCAATGTTGGAACATCTGGTATTTGTTGTTCTACAAAAAGCTTAGTCTTTTCTTCTTTCTTTTTCTAAAAGGATATGTTAATTAAACATAACCTTCAATTTTATAAAATAAATTTTATAAAAAATTCTTATAATGGTATACTTTAAGGTAAAATAAACTGCAACACAATATTACAATAAACAAACATAACAATTCTAAGACCTACATATGATTTAAGCACTATTATGTGGTACATCAATTTGACATCATGTTCAATATTAAATGTATAAAAAGTAAATATCTTCTTTGTATGAAAAATTGTCTATACTAGAGACAAAGTAACAGTTAATTAATATTTTCACACAAAGTAAATATTATATAAAAAATGAAATAAAAAAAATATGTAAAAATTAAATATTCACCTGTCGTTGTTTTAGTACTTCCATTTTATATACACACCAACAAATTTTGTGTGAATTTTCTTTATATAAAAACGTCGAGTTTGTCACATAATACGAATATATAAAACAATAAAAACATGAAAATGATGTCCATCACACAATACAAATTTTCACAATATCACTTCGTATGTTGATATTACAAACACACTACTATTTATCACTATTTCTTGCGTAACCTATCATTTGTCAAAACATATTATAATTCCAAATTGACAGTTTCCATATTAGAATCATTCAATACCCATTTTTCATTTAAGTCATTATTTTAATAACATAAGATTAATAAAAAATTTGTATAGAAAAATTCTACGTAATAACTATTACGAAATAATGAAGATTTACAATTTTCCGTTTATCGACCGAGAGTTACATGCAAATAAAGTGCTGCCATACAATGGTAAAATATAGAGTTATGTCTTGTACTATAAACTAAGAAATAAAAATATACATACGTTTTTTCATTTCGATTTTATACAATAAATTTTTTATTTTTTATGTATACTATTTCATATTATTGCCATTGTTTTGATTACATACAAGAGTTAACTCAATAGTTATCATTTTATTATTCAAAAATTCTATTATACTATTCAAACTGAATAATTTTCAAATCATTCAAAATTAAAAAATTGCTAAACTTTTGTGGGAAATGCAATGTATTATAATTTACTTTATAACAAATACACTTCTTTTGCGACAATTATAATTCAATGTGAGTAGAAACTTATAATTCAATAGATAATTGAATTTATTATCGAGTTTATTATTATTTCTTGTTTAGACGCAATAATATCTCATGAATCTAATTTCACATTCTTTTAGTTATTCCTTGAAAATGTACATCCTTGCATAAATACATTAATCACTTTAAATAAACGGTACTAGTAAGATAGATACTCATAATTGTTACAAATGTTTATTTATAATATTTATTAATAAAATTACGAAATTTATATTAATTAATTTTATACTTTCCATAAACCAGATTTTAACACTCATATGTATAGAAGTATCATTTTAATCAACACAAACGTATGTCACCGAAACTAATATATAGTAATACTAGAAAATGTTTTTCATTCAAATTAATCTGTCACGAAATATCAAGATCTTTGTTTTTTAAACGATATGGTACATCTTTTCAGATTGACAGGCAAATTAATCCAAGATGAATTCATTGACTTACAATATATGTGAATTTTTTGAATCATGGAAATATTCCAAGTTATATTCATAGTCATTTAAAATCAATTAAAATTTACCTTTGGTGAATAGTTACAGTAACTTTTTTATGTACTTGAAAGGTTATTCCACGAGATCAATACATTATACTATGTGGCGCCATCATTTGAATCACCGCGCTCTCGAGGCTTGCCGTACCGGCTGAAAGATGGTAGCACCATGCACGTAAGCAAGTTCTCGTGCCACGTGCTGCCTTCTAGCATTTCGCTATGGCCACTTCCGCCATGGTCATTTCTGCCGTAGCCCCTTCCGCTATGACCGAGTCTTACTAGGACCAGCTTTGCCTCAGTCAGTTCTTCATCAGAACTAACGAAGACCTTGTGTTACCGCCGCAGCTCCAGCCAAGCTACGCCCTTCGCGTTTATTTTTCTTTTCGTTAATAAAGTTTATTTATTTCGCATTATTTATTTTTGATTCTACGCACCCTAAGATTCCATCAAAACTTCCTACGCCACGCTAGGTCAAGGTACCAATGTGGCACTACACGCACGCTACGGTATTCGAACAACTATACATTGATGTATTTTATCTCAAAAAATATTTCTTTGAAAATAATTATGAAATATTGGAATTCATTAATTCGTATTATTTATGTAAGATAATGTTATACTAATGACCGTTCCAATAAAAAATGTATAGCAAAGAAAGTTTACTTAAAATAAGAAAAGAATAATTTGAGACTGACATGTAATATGTTAATAAACTCATCTTGGAACAGATTATATATTTATTTAAATAAATACGTATATATGGTTTTATCAAGAAGAACAAAGCTATCAAAATTTTTTAGTTTTTAGTAAAACAAGGGTTTTACGTGGTAAAAAAGAAAATATAATAATATGGATTTAGAAATACTCATTCTTTAAGATAGAGTTTATTTGAAGCGTTGATAAATAGACTTCACAATAATCTTCTAGCTATTATAGCTAATGATATTTTTAATTGTAATATTTCACTAATACTAGTATGCTTAATTTATAAATTACAAATAAATGTACCGAAGTAATATTTGACATTTCATAAAATATTCTCAAAGATCATCTCTTTGTAGTTTTTTCTAGATATTTTGGATGATAGAATTAATCTTCAGTACCTATTCCTATTTCAGTTTTTTATGGAAGATTGCATGGAAATCTTTGTAAAATATAGAATTGTTTTAATTGCTTTTTTCAGTACGAACGAAACAATGGATATTTAGCTACAATATCCAAACAAAGGATTCAAGTGATATTTAATTAATGACTAATTTATTTTATTAAATGTATTAATTGATACCTTGTTTTTGTAATGGAATATTCGATTTATTTTTCTAGAGAATTTATACTTTATTTGATGCAGTTTATTAGTTAGTCACATGATGAATCAGCCGAAGCAATGTATACATATATGTATGTATGAATCTGTGGGGTTATAAATAGATTTCAATTGAAGGACGTTTTGCGGTGTGTAGTTTTAAATTAGTTTCTTTTTCTCTAAATATGGAATAAAATATACTGAAACTAAATATTACATTTAATTTTTAACCACACTTATTTTGTTTCTTTGATAATTATAGTTTAAAAGAAAATCTGTCTTTACTTCGAATAATTTTTAAATAACAATAATAAATAAAATCAGTTATTCGTAAATAACAAATAATTATTTATTTGAATAAATTTTCATTAGAAAATTATTTGATGTAAAAAATTCATAATTTTATTATGGAATATTTAAATGAAATGATTATTTGAATACATGCATATGTATGAGATTGTGGCCAAGTATTATAGATGAAAATAATTGCAAGAGTGATATACGGAATAGTGATATACAAAGTGATATACAGGTTGAGTTTCTCTCACAATTTTTTATTTTATTAAAATGCGCTTTTAAAATACAAAATTATAAATAAATAAGATCATGATATTTATATCTGAAATTTTATACAATTTAAACATTGTGAAAGTACTTCCTTAAGTAAAAGTAAATTTAAAGTATAGATTAAAATTTTAATAAATTTAAGATACGTGTATAGTTAACTATCCTTCAATATAATATATTATTATGCATATATGTATTATAATTAGTAAATCGAATAGAAAATAAAAATTTTTATGATTTTAGCGTTTAACTAAAAAATTATTGAGTTTATCATTTCAGATGTCAGATAAATTGTTGTTTCGTTATAATGGCTGAAAGTAATTCATTGTATAGTGGGTACATTGTATCCTTACTTCAACAACTAGATTAAATAGCTTTATCATCATTGATAGGCTGTATCACGAATAATATTTTACAATACCATAATATCACATATATAAACACACACAAAGAAATATACACATATATATATGCCAATATGTAAATAAATATATTGAAAAGAAATTTACAAAATTATTAAAATAAATTATAAAAAATATTGTATTTATACTGATCATCCCTTGTGGGGATCGAACCCACGACCTTTGGATTAGAAGTCCAACGCGCTATCCTCTGCGCCAAAGGGACTTGTTAGGACCTTTCTTCATAATATTTTACCTATACATCAAATTTTTATTATGACAATTTATATCATACATTTTTTCTAAATATTTTACTCTATAAACTTAAAAATATGAAAACAAAATGAAAATAAAAAATATTAAAAGTTCAATGTAAAAAAATTAAAAATATAATTTAATGTATTATTATCCATTATTAACTGCTATAAATATATAAGTTAGCAGAGTTTGAATGATATAAACTGAGGAGAAATGAAATTTGGTATAGGTTAGTTTTGAATAATTCATTAGCGAATATTATCATTCCGTAACAAAAATAGTAGGTACAGCATAGCATTTTAAATTATTGTTAATGTAATATATGTATTGATTTATATCCGAATCGGAGTACACAGATATGTATGTAGGTTAATAAGCAAGACTATAACACGAATTGAAATCATACCTTATATAGTGACTATCCCGTACATAGAATTGTGCAATATTATGATTTTATTACATTTTTTCTTTTTTTTATATATATATATAGAGATATGAAAAATGAAATAAATGTTTAATATATTTTTATTTTATTGACAACATATAATTTTCTAATAATAAATATAGTAAATTAAACAAAATATACAATTAGGCATAGAGTTTAGTTACCAATCAAAATAGAACATATGCATTGATAGTACAGTAAAAGTAGTGAATTTTTAACTTTTATTTAATTACATACATGAAAGTTAGCATTTATTAGCTTATGTTATGCTGAAAACTAAAATAAAATAATTATGTAAATTTACAACAATAAATCATAGATTAATTTAATTATTATAACTATCCATAGATCCTAAAGACTTAAAGGTTGTTAAATATACAGACTTGTTTGTCAGAAACTTTGTAGTAAACTG